AAAAAAAAAAAAGGTTTAAATTGGAAAAAATTCAGCCTACACACATTCCAGCCTGTGTGGTTGGACAGCATTACCCTCAGGTGAGCAGCAGCATTGCCTTGGTTCACATCCTCAGTGCCGACCGTTCTGCCAGGACACAAAATAGACCTTTTGCACTGTACACTACACTAAGTGAATTTAAACTGACATCATTTAATTGCACTGAGCCAAAAAAAAAAGGTGCGTCTGTGGAATTTTTTTTCAAATTTGAGCACTAGTGGCCTTTTTTTTAATTAAGGAGACCCAGCAATGGGATGATCAAACAAGACAAGGATGCAGAGTGTTACAGATTTGAAACCTCTGACCACTTGCCTTGAGGTTCCTGAGTGACAGCTCCTGTTCTGGAATATTCTCATGCCATGTCTTAATTGCCATTGATTTGCTGCTGAAGACAAAGAAAAAAAAATAGGTTGAAATCTAAATACCAAAATATTCCTTTGGTGTTGGTTCTTTGGAGAAAGGATGAAGGAGGAGTACCTGTCTCGGATATCGGGGAGGATCCCGAGTACTTCACGTGCGTCCTGTTCAGATGTGCCTTTTTTGTTTTGATAGGCAAAGATGTCTTAAGCTAAAGAGTTTGTCTGCTGTTGTGGAGAACAAAGCTATGCGCCTGTACAATTGTTTATATTGTATATTTACAGATATGCTAATGACGTGTATAAATTGAAGTTGACTTGGAGGCCTATAACACAGTCTGCTACTGCTGGGACTGGATCCGGCCAGCAGCGTTCCTTCCCTCTGGCCTGGGGCAGTCCTGCCTTCCAGACCTGATAACTCCCTCTAGATCCACACCTAACTCCTGAATCCACTTTGGAAATTGGTAGCATTTAAACCAGCAAACACGTAAAGCTTTATTAAACTTTTTAAACTGATAAGTGAATGGAACTTTTCTTTGCCAGTCGAACAGCCGTGTTTGAACTGGTGTGAGAGTGAGTCTGTTTTACTGGTAGTTCTGTAGCAGCATTTATAAAGTGGCCTTCACAAGCCACATTTTATTTACTGGTTTGTGGCCTTTTACTGTGCTTTGTATCAGAGTTCTTAACAAGATTAATAAATCACCCCAGTCTTAATTTTTAAGAGCTTGAGCAGTGCGTGTTCCTTGCAAGGACAAGGTTGGGAATTGCATTTTTGACAATACAAAATGCCCCAATTTTCCATGCTGCTGGTCTCACTTTGGCTCATCCCAGGCTTCCAAATCACACTCCAGCTTCTCATCAGTCTGCCTAAGCTGCTCCCATTGTCTTGGGCATTCCATTTGGAAAATTCTCCTTTTTGGAAAGGAGATAGGACTGAAGAGGGATGTTAATTAGAAACCCCCTGAGTTGGAAGGGATCCATCAGGAGTCCAACTCCTGGCCCTGTACAGGATCACACCGAGAACCCCCCAGTTTTCTCCTCCTCCCAATTTCAGCTGTATTTTTCTATCTTTCTATCTTTTTTTTTTTACTGCCTGTCTCCTCTGTGCTCCTTCCCTGAGGAAGAAGAGGTTTGGAATCCATTCATACTTTTTACAGGAGAGCTGCTTCATTTTGCTAAAATAAGGTTCAATAAGTCCCAAATTTGTGATGCACAGACTGGAAGTGCAGGTAGGAAATGGAGGATGACTTGGAAAAGTGGAATTCTTTCTTAGACTATTTACATTAACTCTTTTGAAGTCCCCACCAGCAGCTATTACTAAACAAGGAATAATATTGTTTCAGACTTTTGTGTGTTGTTGAAAAGGAAAAAATTCTCTACCACATTTTAGAATATACAGATGTCAGCTTTATGCTTTCCTGTAAAAGTGCTTATGTCAGAACCATTTTGAATATTCCACAGTAAAATATATCATAGTATGGCCATGGAAAGTGGTCAAAGGCAGTGAGATTCCCACCAGCATGGTTCAAGAGAGCAATAAATAACATTTCAGTTACTTCATAATTAGAGGGGTAGGTAAAAAGAACAACAAAAAAAAACTGCTGGAGGGGAAAAATGTGAAGTTTGGGTTTGAAATTGGCTCTTGTGGGAAAAGGCAATTCCCTCAGAAAACTTCTTCCCAAGGGGAATCTGCTGACCACCAAGAGGCCTCACATTGCTCTAAAAGAAATGAAGAAATAAAGTAATAAAAAAAAAACCTTTTTTCCACGTATCCAAGGGGGGGAAAAAATCTAAAACCTTTGCATTTCAAGATGTCGACACAGAATCAACTCATATTCAGTTACTTGATTAAAACCTTTTTTGTGAGTTTATTAAAACTTTTTCGTAGGTTTGTTAAGAGCTTTTTGTAGGCTAAATCCTGTTCTACAGGTTTATTAAAACTTTTTTCATGGGTTTATGAAGACCTTCTTCATAGGTTTATTAACCTTTTTGTAGGTTTACTAAGACCTTTTTGTACATTCATTAAGACCTTTTTTAAATTTATTAAAGCCTTTTTGTGCGTTTATTAAGACTTTTTTTGTAGACTTACTAAGACTTTTGTAGGTTTATTAAAACTTTATTGTAAGTTTATTAAGACCTTTTTTGTACACTTACTAAGACTTTTGTAGGGTTATTGAAATTTTTTTGTAAGTTTATTAAGCCCTTTCTTGTAGGTTTGTAAGACCTTTTTTAAGTTGTTTGAGGGCGTTTGTAACAAAACCTTCAGGAGGGTTCAGGCTGGAGCGACTCAGGAGGGATGAGGGAGCAGCTCCTGAGGGCTCCGCGCTCCCTCAGGGCCGCGGCTGCCGGGATTCTAGAATCCATTCCGGCTGGACACG